AGAGAGAGAGAGAGAGAGAGAGAGAGAGAGGGTAAAGAAGAAAATGTACCTGTTCCTGAGAAAAGGAGACATTGGATGCCAGACCTAAAGATAATTGGAAGAAAGGATGGATTTAATACCCCAAATGGCGTGGGTTCTAATATGAACCAACATTTAATTGAAAGCTAAGCCACTGATGTTCAGAAACTGAACTGGTTTGGCAAAAGATTTGTAAACAACAGGATTCCTTCTTTAAATTTGTGAACCACCCTTGACTACTCATCTGCCTCATGCTACATTGCAGGTAATTTGCTTGTTTTATACGTGAGATTTTATTAGTGTTGTTGTTTTGTGGGGGTGGATGCTGTTGATCCTCTTGCTTCCATGTATATGTATTCTGAAGCATGTTGGATGTATCTAGTAATCTTGTAATGACTTGCATATGTTGTCATTGTGACATCATCTGCTTGTTTGTTGTTTACTTTTATCTGCCTTATTGATTTCTGAGACTTAATACTATATGAAGTCACATATACTGTGAGATTTTTAAGAGATTCACAGCTTAGCCAGGTGATTGACTTTGTATATGATCTTTATACAGCAACAAGTAGCTTTCCATGCTTGGTGTTCTTTAGGCACATTATAACTTGGCTATGTTATCTGATTGTGATGTTCTGTGATGTTTTAATTATGTTCAACTTTGTATATGATCTTTATACAACAGCAAGTAGCTTTCAGTGCTTTGATTGTATACTGTTGTTCTTTAGGCATATTATAACTGGGCTATTGCGATATCTGATCGTGCTAAAATGCGTGGACGTACCAAGGAGGCTGAAGAATTATGGAAACAGGTTGAACTTTAACTAGTCTGGTATCTCTTATCCTCTATTATTGCTTCTTTTGGGTTTTCAAATACCGTTGAAGTTATTGATTCAATACGGGTTAAATCCTATAGTCAAACAATTGTGATTTTGATCCACCACTTTACGGCTTTACAACAGGCTGATGTTGCTTCAAGAACCTTTTTTATTCATGCTGGATAATTGTGTCGTGCAGACGCCATAGTGAAGATCGTCTTCCTTTGTGTTGTTACCCAAATACATGTGGGAAATTAATATGACATATGTATGTTAAATAATCTTTGTTTGTCACATATTAGATTATTCTCTTTGGTGGCAAAAATAAAATTGATTAAGCAGATGAGCCTGAAGAACATATGACTTAATACTCATTTTCCTTTTAAGGACTTTCAGGAACTTGTTAAAACTGATTAAGCAAATGAGCCTGAAGAACACACGACTTAATACCCATTTTCCTTTTTAAGACTTTTAGGATCTTTTTAAAAACAAAGATGATATCCTTTTATTTTTATTTCTTGTTTCTTGTTTTCTTTTCCTTTGTCTTGAACTTATCTGGACTTCGTATTGTCACAGACAAATTTATAAACAAGGTGTTCGATGTAATGTTGATGTATATTCATGTTTTTCGATTTTGTTCATGTTTTGCACAACATGTAGAGGGTTTGCAGTAGGCTTGACAGTCCTATTTTGATTGGCTTTTATAGTCATTTTAGTCTTATAAACATAGGTTGTGTGCAGTGGTCACATAGAGGCAAAATTGCCCAAAAACAAGCCATCCAGGCATTTACTTTTGGGGTTTTCTAGCTCCGTATAGTGGTGCAGAGTATCAGTCAATATAATACCTATGAGCTACCCAGGTGACACATGGTTGGATGGGCCTTTGGGGTAGTGTCTAGGCTTGGTTCGTTGCCTTATTCCATAGTAGTGTCTTGTGGGCACTTGTGGAGATTTTTGGTCGTGATGAACCACCTTTGATCCTTTGTCGTGCGATCGTTTAGAGCTTACAAAGTTTGTGTTTGTAATTTGCATTGCCCATCAAGTGTTTGTTGAAATGGTTGCTTATGGGATCCCAATAACATTTTCTCTAACCAGTTTTCTCTTTTGGAGGTCCTTAGGGGACTATATGAGGTTTCGGGGAGATTGACCCTTTGTGGATGGGCATGCATGCGTGCCGCATGACTTAGGCAAAACCAACTAAGCCCGTGATATATGGTATCAGATCGGGACAAGCATACTTAGAAACACGTGATATGTAAACGTGGGGGACCTAACAAGGTTGCATTGAGGACAACCAGCAAGCACGATTGTTTGAGGGAGACGACCGTAGAGACATAGGTTAAGGAGTCACTCTGAGGAGTGGGCATCCAAGATTGATATTCAGAGGAATGACCAACCCTTAGCGTGAGAGGCACAACGAGGACAAGCAAGTTGGGAAGAACGCGTAGTGCACAAAGGTTGAGATGGCTGAGTTCGTATTCCGACTTGACGTTGGCAACCAAACTTGATGGTGCTCAAGGTATGCGGGGCGTTTGGCAAAAGATAAGATCGTCCAAAGGAGGGATGGGTTGCTCGATGACTGAAAGAGTTATGCAAAGCTCACAGAGGTGAGGAGAATTGCTAACTCGAAGAATTCAATACTCATACAAGGGCTTGTATGTAGACAATTGACTGTTCGTGGCCATCCTAAGGTGATCGAAACTCGATGCCATGAAGCATGAAAAATTCATTTCGGCATGGGAATGATACGTTTGTGGGAGGCTGAAGTGTGCAGTAAGTTCACCATATTGCTAGGCCTTGAGGGGTGTAGCGGGGTCTGTATTAGCAAAGAGTCGTAATCTAATCTAGTAGGTGCATTCTCAATGGTAGAACAGTGCATAGTTTGTTTAATAAGGTGGAGTAGTCCAAGTGGATGGTAGTCTATAAAACTTCCACAGGAAAGGATACGAAGATAAAAGTTGCTCCAACGGGACATATATCCGGGAGAGATAAGTCTCGGTTTTCTAGAGAGAGAATCATGTGCAATATAGTGTCACGAACGGTCGTTGCGCACCCGCAACAACTTCGTTCAACGAACCGTTCGTCGCTTTTGTTTACATGTACAGCTGCTTGACAGCATATTTTGGCTTGGTTTTATGTTCTTTTGCTTGTAAAAATGTAAGTTCGAACAAGTTACATCGCTACAGTGCAATTGCTCACCGAACCGAGCAAAACAACCCAAAATGGCTCCGTTTTCGCGTGCCACAGGCTGTTTTCTGCAGCCCGCTGCTGCACGCGAAATGTCAGCCATCTCAACACCCTGGAACCACCCGGGTGGCACCATGGGGGATGGGGCTTCGGTATAGTGTCGGGCATTGAACAATCTTCACAAGTTCACACGTTTTCTTGACGGGAAATTGTCTTCGTGCCCGGCACCCGGTGAGCAACTGTTTGTGGACTTGCACGCATGGTGCTCGCTGAATTGCTTGTAAAGCTTCCCCTTTCGCGAGACGTCGGGACTTGTCCGTCGTTCGTTCTTCAAACTAATCAACTTTCTCTTTTACAGGTCCTTCGGGACCTGAGTGAGGTTGCAAATTGATTGACTTTTGCGGACGCATATCACAAGGGCGCTTCGCGACTTAGGCAACTCAAGCTAAAGTTCGCGTCTTGGCTGCAAGGGTGCCTCACGACTTAGGCAATTCCAGCTAAGTCCGTGACAGTAGAGGTGGTCTTCCGTGCGTATATTGAAATTTGTATTCGATGAAAGCCTTAGTCATCAGCATATGAGAGCTATATACTATTGATGCGAAATTCCGAGTACAAGTACCAATGAGTTCCATTGGGGATCTTGATTATATAAAGGTATGATCGGAGCGATTGGGGAGTTGGATTGCTCCAGAGCATATATTCGCTTAAGGGAGCATAACAAGTCAGAGGACAAAGTCAAGTGAGCGAACGTTGTTATCAAGGACACAATGAAGAATAAAATCGGCGCAAGCCCTGTAACACGATGGTGGAGGCCATGCATGGGAGTTGCAGTCTATTTTTCCATCAACTAAGGGGAACTACTTGAAGAACACAGAGGTATTGAAGCTGATGATCGAAAAGGAGCGAGGAAGTGATGATGAGTTCAGAGGGACTTAGCTGCCCAAAACCAAGCGTCAGTTAGGATGGAGGTGGACTCGAAGGAGCGCCATAGTGCCGTTGAGGCAGATCTACCGATTGCAAAGAAAGGGATGCAGATGTAAGGCAACGGATAGTACGACTATGAGCATGACAGCGCCATGGTACCATAGAGGCAAGACTTCCGTGGAGTCATCGATCCCTTGCTCTCATGGGGGGAGAGCACATAGTCGTGAAAGGGGTCGAGGTGGAGAATGTAGATGTAAACTTTAAGTACCGAGACAAGATCAAAGGGCAGAGGCTAAGGAAGTTTGTAAGATTGGTGTTGACAGGCTTCTCATCAAGAGAGCTGAAAGAGGGGGACTTTAGGTCGATCAAGGTGTGCTTGACCAATGAATGGAGTATGCGGTATGCAATATTGTACCTTTCTTTTCAAAGGAGTAGGCGACGGAAATGATAGAGAAGACGGTACAATCCCAAAGACGACCAAAACTATTGGAGACTTGCTTTAAGTTGGGGTGGAATTTTATTCTTTTCGGGTAAAACTTCTTGCATTTTAAAAGTTCAATAGCAATGAGGAGGCGGATTGCAATAGCTAACCCAACACAAAGAGTGCACACTTTGGGTGCTTCAGAAGTGTGAATAAAGAGCATGCGAAGGCTAGTAACCAACTTGATGCATGAAGTATAACTCTCGAGGAGGTGGGCGAAGTAAAGTAACTTTTGCCTTCTTAACTCTTAAGAGAATGGGTGAAATCAAGTACCCTAATTCTCTTATTTATCCAGCAGGGGAGCTATGCACATGTTCAAAGACCCTTCGAAGAAACTTAGTAGAAAACAATAGTTTTCAAGTCCTTACCAATGGTGATTGATTTTACCGATAGTTGATTGTCCACTTCATTTCCCAACAGAATGCCAATCGAAAGCGAAAGTGATGCGAAGCTACTTAGAGTCGACAACTAAGTAGAAGAGGAATCAATGAGCAAATTTTATGAAGGAAAGACATCAAAAACTTCAAAGTCTTGAGGTGATGCTTGTTAAAGCTCCAATAGGCATCCACCCAATACAAGCAGCACGAGACGTTTAAGAGACTGACGCCCAACAAGGAAGGTCTTTTTCTTCATCTGAGGGATTCGTAGGAACCAACAAGGATTAATATAACTCGAACGACTCCACACCAGAGTCAGAGTCATTGTTGGTGGATTAAAGTTCAATTAATCAACAATAAAGGTGGAGAGTAGTTGGGAGCCAAGAGACATGTTACAACTGGAGCAAAAGATTGAAGATTCAACAAAGGCGAGAAGATGCAGCGTCCGTAAAGGCGTCGACGAGGACATTGAAGGAATAAGCGGGGGAGAATGTCATGGACAAATCCGTAAACAAGGTGTTCGATGTAATGTTTATGTATGTCTGTATCTTTCGGTTTTATTCATGCTTTACACAACATATAGATGGTTTGCAGTAGGCTTGACAACCTCATTTTGGTTGGATTTTGTGGTCGTTTTAGTCTTGTAAACGTAAGTTATGTGCAGTCGTCGCACAGAGGCAAAATTGCCCAAAAATAGGCTATCCAAGTAGCCATTTTGAGGGTTTTCCAACTCCGCAGAGTGGTGCGGCGTGTCAACTAGCTGAACAACCAGGAGCTACCTGGGTGGCACATGGCTGGATAAGCCTTTGGGGTAGTGTCTAGGGCTGGTTCGCTGCCTTGTTCTGTAACAATGTCATGTGGGCACTTATGCGGACTTTTGGTCGTTGTGGATCACCTTGGACCCTTTGTCGTGTGATCTTTTAGAGCTTGCGAAGTCTATGTTTGTAATTTGCATTGCCTATCAAGTGTTTATTGAAATGATTGCTTGTGGGACCTCGAGTTGAAATATTTTCTCTAACCCGTCTTCTCTTTTGCATGTCCTTAAAGGACCATAAGAGGTTTTGGGGAGACTGACTCTTTGCGGACGAACACGCAAGTGTGTCGCACAACTTAGGCAAAACCAGTTAAGTCCGTGATAGTATGTTGTACTGTTTTCATGTAACTTTCATTAATGCAGGTGACATTATTTTCATTTTTTTCTATTAAAAAAATTATTGTTTTAAGTTTAGTCGAAGATCATATCCCATTAAACTTTGACAATTTGGATGGATTTTGTTGGGAAATCTATTGAGCAAGATTATGAAGCAAATTTACAAATTTGTTCAGAGAACTACAGTATTCATGAATTATAAAGGGAAAAAAGAAGAGTACCAGCACGTCAAACTTTAATATTATTTTAATTGCATATGGGCAATGATAAATGATCAAAGAAATACAATATGAGTTCGATCATACCAGCACTAAACCACCGGATCCCATCAGAACTCCGAAGTTAAGCGTGCTTGGGTAAGAGTAGTACTAGGATGGGTGACCCCCTGGGAAGTCCTCGTGTTGCACTCCTTTTTGCGCCCCGAGCGACGAAAACCTCTCCCGTAGACCTCCGAGGCGATGGTTTTGGGGCTCGGAATTTGCCGTGACCGCTACGCAGTCAGTCTCGTGGGGCTCGGAGAGAGCTTTTCGGACTGGGGTCGCAATAGCGATTCTGAGTTCGTTCGAGAAAGTCCCTATGGTTTCGGTGCGCGTTGGCCGTGTCCGGTACGCAGTCGGCCTCGTGGGCATTGGAGAGAGCCGACAATAGCGATTCCGAGATCGTTCGAGAGTTTTCGGGGTGTGCAAGGGGCTCCGATCGTCGATATGCCGGCTGCGACGTGCACAAAGGCGAGGGACGACGTACGCAATATGAGTGTGATCATACCAGCACTAAATCACCGGATCCTATCAAAACTCCGAAGTTAAGCGTGCTTGGGCGAGAGTAGTACTAGGATAAGATGGTAGAACAACATTTTTTGTTTCATGATATGAAGATGGGAAAAAATGGCTATTGTCATTGTTTTCTGAAAACATTTAAAACCAAGATGATGAACTTGTTTGGCTAGGGCATTTAAAAAGTGTCCATATTAAAGGGATTGTTTCATGGTCCATGTGCTAGAAAAAAGGAAGATAATATCAGCACTGACTAGTTTTTAGGGTTGATATCCATGAACAAAGGAGGTTCACAATTGTTATATAGTTTGGGTGACACAATAACCCAATTAGGGGTTGATGGGCATTTAATTAGTTCATAACTTCATACATCTCAAAAATAACAAATCCATGTGACCCTAAGTCATGTATACCATGTATCCAATGTCAGGTTGGAGAAAATTAGCCCTGGCTACTAGTTAAGTTCTTAAATAGAATGTATTTAAAGGACTTGGATCTCTGTTCGAAACTGGTTTCAGTAACTGATTGAATCGGCATAATATTGGTGTACTGACCTGTACCTTCTAGCCTCACAGAAGAAATAATAAAATTTTAGGTACCAATCAGTGCTGACTGGTCTGGTCTTGCTCTTTGGTTGGGCTGGTAAATACTTTGCATACATAGAGGTCTGATCTGTATTTAAAGCTTTGCCCATCTTTCAATGATAATATTCCAGAAAGAGAGATGCGTAATTATGATTCTTCTAAGGTAGAAGTTGATTATTATCATGTGATGTACACAAAAGATAATGTTAATGATCAATATTTGTACTCTTATTTATTTTGGGTCATTACTAGTTGAATTGGAGTTTGCTTATGTTGTCTATGTGAAAATTAGATGTCAATGTTCCTACGCCCATATGATTTGCAAACAACCCACATTTATCTCTTATATGGGAAAGCAATTAGTCCCACGAAAGACCACAACAATTGATTAAAGATGGTGTATTGTAGGATCATGTAAAATGAATGAAGAATTGAATATCATGAACAATTACTTGTTTGCCCTTATGTAAGCTGGAACCTTTTAAAGATTATAATATAGTTGAAAATTATAATGTTTTATTGCCTAAGCTAAATGTTCTCAAATTACAGAACCATAGTGATCTCATCTAACTTGTGATCCATTGGATTTTCTATAATCTATGTAATTCTTTACTGTGCTATTGCTGGGTGCATCTATTTTCCACTTTTCACACTTTGCACAAATTGGTGGATGCATAGCCTAAAGAAGATATGTCCAATCAGATACCAAATGCATAAGGACTAAAAATTCATTTGATTGCTATCTTAGCTGCCAACTTAATGATTCAACTATTAAAAATTTTCTGCATTATTTGCTTAGATTTTTTCCCCTTTTACTGTTGCATTTTTTGAACGTTCATGCAGCCCTTGTAACATCCCTTTTCTTTACAGGCAACAAAGAAATATGAGAAAGCTGTTCAGCTTAACTGGAACAGCCCACAGGTCAGCTATATTTATGTAACATTATGTTCTTTTTGCAGTATATATATTTTTTCATTTATGTTCTTTCTTACCAATATTTCTATACCTTTTCCATCATGAGCTTTATTTCTTGACATGTTTAAAATTTTCCTTTTCTTGTTTGTTGATCCAATTTCAGCTGGTACTAATCATTTAACATATATGGCTGCTTTCTGTTTACTTTAATCTGCTAGGCCAGAACTTCAGTGGATCTATGAAGCAATATAATATTTATGCTGAAATATCTATGTTTTGTTCCATGTAAACCGAAAATAACCTCTTGGTGTTGATTGAATACATTCCTTCAATGTTTTACGATTTTATGTTATATAACATTCAGACAGAAGCTAACTTAATTAAATGCCTATAAGTATAAATGATCACCATGATGTTGGCCAATTTTAAGCTGGACACTAAAATTAAATTGCTTGACATATACATAACATGAGGCAGAGCCTTGATGCCAACATAAGATTGTTCTGAGTGATCAACGTTCTTGTCAAAGAAAGCTTACAAGGTAAGGTTATGGATGTTGACCCTTAGAACCTGTATTGGTGGGAACCTCATGCACTGTGCTGCCCCTGTTTGCTTCACAATTGTTTGGCTTCATTCAGCTCTATTAACAAGATAATTACTTTTAACAATTGCTGGCGATTTGTATGAGAAAATTAATATATGTGTTTATCTTGTACTGTTAACAGGCTGGAGATCAGTGATGAAACTGTGCTTTGTGGTGCTTCTATAAGTTATTTAAATATTTAAAAAACAAAAAACATTGAAGGTTTGAGACCTTTGACAGACACAGTTGGAACAGAGACTTACTTGGAGTGTAGGGTTGTAGTATTGAATTCATAACAGAAGCAACTACTGTCTAACTTTGTTAGGATTTTTTAATCACTCTATATCTAACAAGTGAAAGCTTATCATCATAGAATTGTTACCTTTCTGATTTTATGAGGGGAAAGGTTTCTGATATTATTGGATCATTTAGCTCTGTACTGGTTGGTGTTTATTTTTTAAAATTATTTTGCAGTAATATCAGCTGACACAAGTGATTATATTGTCTATTACTCTATTATACTAGTACTCTACTAATCGGGCAAGGTGTTGAAACTGGTATGTGGATCAGATATTAAGCCTTGGTTGGGACTCCTTTTTTACATGAACCAAAATACAATATTTTTAAGGAATATTTCTTCTTTACTTTTACTTAAATTGGTGGGATGTCACTGAACATTGAGATATAACCAAGTGTAGTTTTGTGATGATTAACCAATTTATTCAAGTTGGCTAGTATTTAGGTTTTTTAGGACATACATTTTCCCCTCACTAAGATAGTTATGTAAATCTCCATCCTAGGGTAGGCACCAATCTCTAGAAGGGTTCAAACTTAAATAGGGAACCAACCACCAGTCCAACATCTAATTATTGGTCTATTTTAAGTTTATTCTAAATTTCCAGATATGAGACAGTAGAAAGGTAGATTTTCTGAGAAATGTCATGCTTGAAAGAGAAAATCCAGGGGACGATTGTTGGACCCTACACATTGGTATTATGATATTAGAATAAGGAACAACAAGAAAGCGGCCACTAGCAAGAACAAAATTTTTCATCCGATACACATACTGATGATTGGTTGGGCCAGTACAGTACCATTTTTGGACCCAATAAATCCCCATAAAATCTCTTATTTTTAGTTTTTTGCCTCAGTAATTAATGAAAATGTTTTTAGACGTTATTGTAAACAGTTTTTTAGGAACACCATCAATTGGAATGGGGAGGGAGGAGAGAACAATGCGTAGGGTGGATTGCACACCATTGCACTTGTCGCGAGGCTTTGGTGGAGTTGGCTGAGCTGTCATTTTCCAAAATATTGGGGTTATTATGTCAATCAGGCTCATTTTCAACTACATGTTGGGTTAGGACTTACAGCTGGTACTTACCCTCTGCTTTGGTTTGTGATGGAAAACCAGGCTTGGTGGGCAAGGAGAGGCATGTGTGTGATTGTGTGTGGAGTCTGACATTGTTGTGAAGCTGAGATTATGTTGTTCTGTGCTGTTCACTCTAGTGACATCTGAAATGTGTGTGGAATACTACTAGTGTAGCAACAACAATTTTGCTGTTATATAGTGCAATTTGCCAGTTTTGTACTAGGTATAGCAGCATCTTTGCTCCTACAAGGAGCTATTTGCCAGTCTTAGTGTTACTCTTGCAGCTGCAACAAAAGTAGCTTTGCTCCTATATGGAGTAATTTGCTAGATTAGTACTACTATTGCAGGAGCAATGACAGTAGCTTCACTCCTATATTTTAGCTATTTGCAAGCTTAGTATTACTACTGCTGGAGCATCAGACTTTTCTCTATCTAGAACTCTTTTGCCCCCTTAATTCTGCTAAAATAGCAATAACAACTCTGCTTCATGAACAACACTTTTTCTCCTATATATGATATAGAGCTATTTGCTAAATCTTTTTAGTGCAGAGATAAAGCTTGTAGTCATATTTTACCTATAGACACATGGTATGTTGACATGCACTGTAGTACCATTTTGCTGGTTGGCGGTTTTTTGAAGGGAGGGAGGAGAGAGAAGAAGGAAGAGGAGTACTGGTCTGACTGAAGAATGAAGAAAGAACAAGAAGGAAGGAGGAGGAGAGGAAGGAGGGAAGAAGGAGAAGCCCTGGTCCCTCGAACCAAGCACCTTATCATGTTCACCTTCCGTATGGCTTGTGGGACTTAAATACCTAAAACGACTGTCACATCATATGCTCAGAGTGGGTTGAAGAGGTTGTTTCATAATGGAAATCAACCCAATGTAACAATAATGGATGGTACATATGGATCTGTATCCTGGCAGTGTCTTGGGGCAGCAGCACTTATAGGTACATCTGGTTGAAACCAGAGTTTGATTCCTTGCTGAGACCTGTATGTACACCCGATGCAAAGCAGTAATTTGATTTATTGCTGAGAATGTGGTGTTTGCAGTATGTAGCTATCCTTTCTATTGATTTCAAGGAAATGTTTTAGTGGGAAGCTTCATTATACTGCATCATGATGCATGTAGTTTGTGCATTTATGTGTACCTTTTAAGTTATCTTTATTCCCTTGATTTTTTTACGTTTTTTTTTTCACTGACATACATGTTTTATCAATTTTTTATAAAACTGAATATCTTGTTGCTGACTTGTTTATATTCTCAATTTTTTTTATGGAGTGCTGCTAGTGAAAGAGGCCCTATTCTAATTTTCCTGTTCTTTTATTGTAGGCCCTTAATAACTGGGGACTTGCTCTGCAGGTACTGCGGTTTATACTTGTTTACAAATTAGGTTGATTCTTTCAAAAGTAATTTTATGCTGGTTTTCTTATTTCACAATGATTACCATAGTGATGTTTATATACAAAAATTATGATGCAGGAACTTGGTGCGATTGTTCCAGTGCGGGAGAAGCAAACTATCATAAGAACAGCTATAAGTAAGGTAAGACCATGAACCGTAGGAATGATATTTGTTAATTAAATTATTAGGCTGACTATATATCTTAAGGTTCGTAGATATGCTCAGTTCAGATCTTTCTCTTTTCTTAATTTGATTATGATAAATTAATAATTCATGCTATTTGGCAGTTCCGTGCGGCAATCCAACTACAGTTTGATTTCCATCGAGCAATTTACAATCTTGGGACAGTGTTGGTTAGTATTTACTGCTATATGTCATATTTTGTTTTCACAACTTTGTTATCAGATTAAATTTCAAAAGGAAAATAGTATACTTTAGATAACATTATGAATTTTCTCTTCCAGAATATTGGGTCATGTATAAATCTGATTATATTTCTGTTCCTTATGCTAGTATGGCTTAGCTGAGGACACTTTCAGATCTGGCAGACCTGTCAGTGCAAAAGAAGTCCCTCCTGATGAGCTTTATAGCCAATCAGCTATATATATTGCAGCTGCTCATGCTTTGAAACCGAATTACTCGGTATACCCTTGCCATCTGATTTATATCTGTTTCTTGTCTTTTAATTTTATGTTACGCATATCATCTCTATGTATACAGGTGGCTGATAGAAACTTCCTGGGCTTGTCAAGTCTAGGAAGGACTGCTAGATGTTAGAAAATAATTTGCATGTGATTAAGCATTTGCAAGGGTGCTGGAAAGACATTTTGGTGCTATAGATTTAACAAATGTAAGTTCATAGTAAAGACCAATTATTTCCCTAACAAAAGATATATGAAGGGGCCAGAATGTGATTTCCTTTCAAATTATTGATAGCTACTGCAAAAAGTTTAGGTGTTACAACTTACATAATAATAATTTAGAATTAGCCCAACTGCTGGTGGACTTCATTGGTTGATTTTGTTCACTATCAGATTTTATTCTTAACTAATGCAGTTTCATGATCTCATCAGCTTATTGTTGATATATCAATGATGTGCCAGATCTCCCAAAGATCTGACTCATGTTCAGGACTAAGGATTATGGCTGGCATGTGCCAAACCATGCCATATATGTGCTGGCTGTGCGTCAGATGGCCAAGCCATTTATTAGCTTTAGCTGATTGGTATTAGGGGCATGCCGACCAGGGCATGATGGTATGTACTATGTAGAGTGTTAGATGTTGCAATATTCTCGTCTCCTGTTCTGTGATGGAATAGGGTCCCCCCTCCTTAGGCTGACTCTCAATCAGGACCAAGTCTTAATGGTCTGGTTCAGATTCGTGGGCTGGTAGAGGTGTTTTAGGCTGGTCTTTTTACCATGGATATCTTCTTCACAGTTGTTTCATCTCTGTGATTTTCTTTGTCTAGTTGTAGATGACTTTATCCCTTGCAAATGACTGCATTGACCTCAACGATTTCTCTTATAGATTTCAGATAGCCCAAATATGCATGTCATGCATTCTTGTGCATACATGTACTCTGAAATTTTGGAAGGCACTTTTTGATTGTGAGGAACTGGTTCTTCATCTGTCCGACATACTATGAAGTTGATGTTATTATAATTTTATTGTAAAGTATTGTGTGGAGAATGTATATTAGATTTAATGAACATTGTGAATTTGGTAATTGTTTTGCACAAGATCTAATTGCTGAATTTTCAGTGAGCATTTCAGTGTTTCGCTTAAGTTTGATTTCTTCAATGTTCATTCAGGTTTATCACAGTGCCTTGAGACTGGTTCGTTCAATGGTGAGTTTTCTGCTTCTCGTATCGTTGCCATTTAACTTTCAGTCATGATATTAATAGTAACTGTAATGTAAACTACTTGTATCAAGCCAAATGTTCAGATGGGTTTTCTTAATGGAGATGAAACATTCCTATGCTGGGTGGCACATATTAATACTTCAATGCAAACTTTAATCTGTTTTCTACCTTTCTTGTGGAATGTGTTCTCTGAGTTTCTTATTCACTTCAAATTGTGTTGTAGAATCTTTTTCTAGTAGACTGTCTTTTTATTGAATACAAGGTTACATACAAAATTGCCCTTGAAACTTTATAACCTAGGCGTAAAAGGGACTAGTGGAGTTTTAGGGAGGTAATAAATTCTCCATATTGTTATTACTATTGTATTTTGATCATCAATTAAGAAACCTCAGTCTTGGTTTGTCTATATGGATAGAAAAATAGATCTACTTCATTTTGATAGGTTAGAAACCAAAGCTTTGTAATCATTGCCTCTGGTTACATCCAATTTCAGCTATGCTTTTTTCTGATTGGGAGACAAGAATGTTATAGGCAATCTTAATTACAAAATACTGATCTGATGAAGATTGAAACTAAGGGAGGATGGTTAAAAGAAGATTGTGTTTTGGGGGGAAGGGGATTTGAATGCAAAAGATCCCTCAGTGTTTCTCCTATTCTTTACATAGTTGCCGCCAGGTGAGTATCAACCAAATGGGATTGAATTATGATCAGATAAAGAAATATAAATTTAGTTATACTTATGTTGATTAAGTAGCTCTAGACAAAGAAGAGTATCGGTAAACTCCAATTGTAGATTAATGATGTGTTTATAGTCTAATCAAGGTTTAAAAAGTCTTTATTTTACAAGCTTCTGCAATTTATAATGTTTATCTTAGGTTGCATATGAATATTAATATTTATACTCGCCATAAAATTTGATAGAAACCTGTTCAGGAAATATGACCTTTTATGAGAAGCAATTTTATTTCATGGGTTCAAGTTATATTGGGATAATTATCATAATCAATATACTGCCCATTAAATTCATGTTCAGATGATATGGCATAAGATGTTGATTCTCTCATGAAAGTCATTATTCTTTGACATTTGATTTTCTCATGTGGTGCTTTCTTGATAGCTTCCTTTACCCTACTTCAAAGTGGGTTATTTGACAGCGCAACCTGCACATATTCCAATTGCACCTCATAGAGATTGGCAAAGGTCCCAGTTTATTTTAAATCATGAGGGACTTCAACAGGTCAGTTTGCTACTCATTACCCTAATAAAGAGATGATGAGAATATAGGTTTTCTTGCTTATTCCATTCTGAAATAAGTCAACTGAAAAATGTTCATTCATGTCACTTTATTTTTATTGTTGGTTGGTTTGAATTGTTTTCATCTAAAAAGGAAGGCGACTGGTTAGCTAAAGTTGTACAAATCAAGGATTACAATATCGAATGATATAGCCCATGCTGGGCAGTACCGTTGATCTAGCCCCGTATCGGACGTTACAGGGCTGTATCGGGCTGTAACGGTCGATATTTCGACTGTTACCACTCGAAACAGGTTGGTAACGGTTGTCGCTCGTTATTGAGCAGTATCAGCCTGGCTGTGGCTTGGCTGTGGCGAGGGAAGAAGAAGTGTTGAGGGAGAAGAGAGAGAAGGTGCTCGAAGTAGAGGGAGAAGAAGAAGGAGAATCGAGAGAAACTCAATGCTTCTAAATCTAGCGTCGCCCTCCCTCGACGATCTCGATCCAGGAGGTAACGGAGAGGCCATGGCTCGGCTTCTTCTTCGCCACGTTCTTCGCCAAAGGTTGGAGACGTCTACGACCTTCGATGTCTTCGTTGAACGCCGTAGATGAGGAGAAGACCGTGCTCTTCTCCTCGTCTGACACGACAAGGAGAAGAAAAGGAGGCGACATCGCCGAGGCAACGTATGCCTCCTTTTTTTTTAATATTATTTTTATACTTTTATATATTAATTTTTATATTATATATATGTACCGAGTTGTACGCCCATACTGTATGTCGGTACGGTACAAAATTATGAATCTTGATACAAAGTAACCATTAAAATCTGTACTGGTGAATTTCTTGTATCAGATCAATGCTGACTATGGTCTAGCATTCTTTACAGCATTATGGAATGTCATCGTCTTGCCAGATATCAAATGAGACAATATGATGATTCCTCTTCTTCATTCATCTTCTCTCTCCCTCTCCCCATCTCGCTCTGTATGCTTTTTACCGAGTGAATGCGGGCTCCAGCACTTAAATCCTTGCTTTATACTGTTGGATAATCATGTTTCATCTTATTTTGAAATTCTTTTCAATATTTCACCAATTATTATATATTTATTCTTTTTTATTTGACCAATGTTCCATTGTGCATTATGATTTTTTTAGTTTGTTCCTCCACCATAGTTTATAAATGTATGATATGAGATTTGTTTTTTGATTCATTATCTAAATACTTCTAACCACTGAATTTAGTATTGATGTATTTTGTTTAGTTTGTTTCTCCATAAAGTTGAAAGGAAGACAATAAAACCAGTGATTTCTTTCCTGTTTTTGATATAACAGACTGTTCATTATGCCAGAACTCAAGTTTAATATCTGTGCATTTTGGATAAACAATAAAAACCATGTTGGCCTTCTCAGGATTATCCTTGTCTGGCAAGGTTGGCTGGGTTATACAAATGGGAGATGCATGTGGTTGAAAAATTGACTGTATTTTAAACCATCTAGAGATTTTAGTTTTACAATTTATAGGTTTAAACTTTAATTATCCATAGTCCCTGATTCTTTGTCATGTTTTCCTCCCTTGTTCTCATTTTCTTTATATCTCCTTTCTACCCAGTTTACACCCTTTTGCTGAAGTGCTAAACAATCTGCTATTTTTTTATCTAGTCATTTTGTTCTTCGTGAGATATTCATTGCATCTCAAAATTTCATTAGTATCCTTGTTAAATCTACTCTTCCAATAATACCACCATGCCATATAAATTCACCAAAAATCCTTTTATCCTAACTTTGAAAGGTAAGATTTTTCTATGTTTTTCCTATTGAAAACATATAATCCCACCAAAGATATCATGGTCTCTAAACTTTAGTTTGATGTTGTTTTCTCTGTCATGGATGTTGGTTGGTTCATGCTTTTGAGTACTTCCATGAGCAAAATAATTATGTTTTGATATGTCATTTAGGAAAGACGTGAATGTTTGAATTTGTATGGGAACATTTATATCATCTTTCCCAATCCATGTGTTATTATCAACTAGTTTTCCCAAAGGATCGTAGTGTTGTGTCGGGCCTTGGACGGACCTGTACCTACCGGACAATATCAGTGTGCCTTACTCTTTTTTGGGAAAAAGCCTAAAAAACAAAAAATAATAATAGTGTTTTTCTTAATTTATTAGTATATAAATTATATTTAGATAAGAAAAAAGTGTATCTAAGTCATAAGTGAATAGAAATTCTAGGTTATAAGGCGGAAAAATTGAATTTATCTTTACAGATTTGTAGAGGAACAACTTTGTCGCACTGGCTTCCATTGAAGGAAGTGAATCAACTGAAGCTTTAGTCACAAGTGAGTGTGTGAGAAAGAGAGTGAGTGAAAGTAAGGGAAGGGAGGGGATTTAAAGCTCTGAACGAGGCCCCAACCATCAAATTTGACCCTTGGGGTCAAAAACGAAACTTGATATGTGTCGATATCGATCAAATTATGATTGATACTGACCCATATCAGTCGATATAGGATAAGTTTCGACTGTATCAATCGATACATTCCCTGTACAGATCGACACTGGGCCATATTTCAGTCTAACATCTGAAATGGGCTGGTCCACATACTGATCAGCCGGCAGACATGTACATATCACCTGTACTGTAACGTTTTGGGTGGTACGTCAAACCTTGGTTTTCCCTATGACCAAATTGCTCTGGATGTCAACATATGCATGTCCATGATCATGTGCTACTTCTTTCACTTCTCTTCAGGGCCTCTATATCTTAATGGTGCATTTATATGGATTATCCATGGATATTTGATACTTTATTGAAGGATATAAATCTTGACTGGTTTTGGTAATTGGTCTCACAATACATGGCTGCAGACTGATGCATATTATTTGGTATTACTGAAAAGGTAATAAAAAATAAATATCAACAAGTACCGACTGATATAGTTTTGTACCTGTCCATTATCAAATTAGCAAATACTGCTTCATACCAACTGGTTCAACCAAAATTTGATTTCTTAACTTCATCTCTGACCATCTCCTGCTGATCTCAAAGGATGATCTACTAAATTTATAATCAAAATTTCTTTAAATTAATATCCTCCTGAAGTCATTTGGTATCTTTTCTTATGTTGTTGGTTTGTTGTGGAAAATAGGAGTTATCCTTGTATTCTTGATCACTTTTCCTGTAGATGCAAATCTATAAGTTCCTCAAGAATAAGAGCAACTTATCTGTGGAATTTCATTGCCCACTAACCTAAATGTTTACTCATTAAACTACAGACACATTGTGTGAAAATGATATTACTGAAGGGTTGCTTCACTCAATTACTGTAATCCTTATCTATAATGAGTTATTTGTTCATATTTCTACCTTTATGTAATAATCAGGATAGATTTGGTGAAATAGATTTCTTGATACTAACAATAATGCATCAAATTTAATCTTTACCAGGTCAGTAGTGCTGAGAAGAATCTGTCACAAAGTCCTTCTGGAAGGTCACAAGGATCTCCCCAAATTGACAAATCACTAGTTAAAGTTGATGTCTGTGACATTGTTTCTGTCTCAGCCTGTGCGGACCTTACTCTACCACAAGGTGCTGGCCTCTGCATTGACACAATTCATGGTCCAGTTTACTTGGTAAGTGTCCTATATCCAGGCATGTCAGTAGAAGAATTTATTCACTGATTTTCAACATTTATTCAGGTTATCCTTATGTTTTTGTGTTCCACTGGCTTATTGGTTTTCTTTTTTCATATGGATGGATGTTACTCCCTATAGCATGCTTCTTATTTTATTTTTTCCTAGATTCTGGCAGGTCCAGTTGCCCTGTGGTTGCAAGCGTTTGAACTCAAACCTTAAGGACACATCAACTAGACAATTAAGTTCTTGGGCATATTCCCTTATCCATACTTTCTTTGGTGACAGCATCACTTTGATATAATCATGGCACTAAGGAGTCATGTCATTATCTGTTGTGCTCTCTATGATAAACCCTAGACTAGTGGCAAAAGTTTGGTTGATGAATGATGATATGGATCTTTCTCGCATGACTGGCCAACTTGTTTAAATTTTGTATCTCAAGATCGAGTGCCACTCATCTTTGGAATTTTTTAGATGTTCATTTTTAGTTTACTGAGTAAAAATGGTCTGACTTTTCTTTTGCCCTGAATTTCTTTTAATATAATTATGGTCAGAACTACAGAACCTAATGAATATGTTGATGTGACTGTTTTGTTATATGTTCATACCTAAATGTGCATCCTTTGCTCCTGTTGCATGTCACATTACTTCTACTAGCATATATTGAATCCAGTATCAAATTTTACTTCACAGCCAGTTGGTTATCAAGTTTGTTACTGGCTATTTACATACTCTCTAGGCAGACCATAACTGTCAGATACTTTCTTGACCATTCTTGGCTGGGCTTTATGGAGCCTCATTTACCAACAACTTGAACTAAGGCTAGCTTTGGTGCAAAGGTTCCAAGCCCATCCAAATATAAATTTATAACAAATCTACTCCTAGTTCATGTTTAGGTTCCAAGATTGTTAATAGAAGCTACATATTCTGGATTATTAATTACTTGGGTTTGGCTAGATTTAATCCTTTTTCAACATTTAGCTTCATCTATGGTCCTTTCTCTTGATTGATGATTGTAGATTTAGTCCTACCATTATTAGATAATCAGGCCAGCAAATTGTCAGAGTCCTAATGTTCTTATCAGCATAAATATGGAGACACCGCTTGATTCCAAATTGTGATAAACCTTTAAGCCATCCCATATCATATCAACATAAGACAGCATGAACTCTTTAGCAGATCAGAGATGGCTACCTCGAGTCATTCACCAGTTGGTGATTGTAGGCATGGTGATCAGATATAAATCAAAGACAAGCTGGCCAGCATATCATCTGGCATAATTGCTGGTGATCGTTGGAGATGGTTTAAGATATAAATTAAAGACAAGCTGGACATCTCAGGAGTTGGCTTGATTGCTAGTGATTGTAGGGGATGGTGGTAAGATATCAGAAGGCATGGTCCATGGATGCAAATCATGGACCATGGCTTCTCCTAAATTAAAGACAAGCTGGACAGCTCGGGAGTTGGTTCACTTGCTAGTGATTGTAGGGGATGGTGGTAAGATGTTAGGACTTAGGAGAAGGCATGGTCCATGGATGCAAATCATGGACTCAGATTCATGGCACTTGAACTGGCTAATAAAAGATTTAGGGATGAGACCAGAAAAGGTAATCCTCAAACAGTCAAACATGTTAAAAGACATTGTTGCTTTCTTTTCCTTCTTGATGGTAGAACAACAGTTTCAGTAATCCTAAATGTAGATAGCCCTTCATGTAGAATCCAGGAAAAGAAAACAGTTCAGAAAACTTATGGTACCTTTAAAGATTGGATGTTCCTTTTTCTCTTTTGAATTATTAGAATGAAGTGTTATTTCAAGTGCTCACTTTGGATTGATATTTAGGTGGTTGTGTTGGTTTATGAAGCCAAGAAATTTTTGTTCAGGGTCCAACATTTCTAATTGTCTCATTTACCCTCATACCAGGTTGCTGACACATGGGACTCTTTGTACGGATGGCAGGATGCAATCTGCCTAGTCTACACTATTTTTGCCAGAGGAAAGAGTGATGTTCTTGCTGGCATCATAACTGGTTGATTGTCCATTTTGCGACAATTGCATATTAGAAGAATACGGACTCTGTTCACTATCAGATTACTGGTGCATGAATTATCATACTTTTTCGATCAAGTTCCTTAGACTGTTTGGTGTTTCAATTTTTCACTGGTAGTAACTGTCATTCATGGTGGTAGCCTTGTAATGCTTTCTAATCTGTGCCATAGATTCAGAAACTTAAAAGTGTGTTTAAATATTAGGATAAATATCCGTCAGGCTTTTTGGCAGTAGAATATTCTTACAGCAGTTTAATTATCGATTGCTATAGCATTCTTGCCCTTCACAAATTTTTCAGACACAAGTGGATTTCATTTTCATTTTCTTTCTGTATCAACAAAATGTTCACGGATGTAGTTGGAGTTTTGCAATTACAAGAAGGTCATAGTATGATTATCTTGTTTTCTTACATTAAGCTTAATAAATGTTTTCATTTTTTCTAATATATAGCTTGTATTTTTCCTGTGATGAGGAATGCTACTACCCTACTATGACCCCCACAAAGAAGTATGTCTCCTCCAGAAAGATGCAGGCAATGCACTAAAGATCAAAGACGACTACATTAATGTACAACCACATCATCAACTCACACTCGGAGAATGATGAAGCTAATGCTGGTCTACTATTCTTAGATTATTTAAGAGTGTTTGTACAAAGATGTTGAAGTTCTGTGGTTGCTGACAGTTTGCAGATCGTTGAGCTAATTTTCAAAATCAGTGTGTTGCCTGTGAAGATGATCCGAAAATTGAACTGTGGTGTTGCATTCAATTACGGTTTCAGGCTCTCTTTGGCATAATAGGTAGATATGAAATCACAAGTTTTTGTAATTGAAGCTCACCAGTGGTTCATGAGGTTCCTGAACGCAGCAGATTGACGGAACTTAAAGATTCTCACGGGAAGCAGGGAAGCGTGCTGAGGTAATTGCGCTGCAGTCGACGCTAGAGCAATTGCATCCACTACGAGGATGGGACGTACGCCTTCTAGGAGATTATAACTGCACCTTCGGTATAATAATATAAGATAATATAGTGCCTAACTGTTCCGTCGATGGTTTCATTCTAGGACAGACGGTTCTAGTTTTTAAAAATCAAGAATCAGATTCGAGCTGTCCTGATTTTGGAATCAAAATTAGAATCGTCAATTTCGGTTTTGGTTTTAATTTTGGTTTGGACGATTTGATTTCGGTGGAATCCTTAATTTTTTTTATCATTTTAAATTTTAAAATATTAAAAATTGTAATTTATTTTTAAAATTTTTAAAATAGATGTATAACTATAATATGAGTATGCTAATTTAAAAAAAATTGATTGAAAAAAATAAAATTGTAAAATTTTTAATCAAACTAAAATAACTTCATCAAGATTCTAACCCAAGTTAGTTGGTTTTAAATCTAAGTATTTAACAACTATATCATATTTAATCGGTTTGAAATTAAAACTACCGATTTGGAATCTGAACC